ACAAAGAATACAAGAGTTAAACACTTATATCTTGTTATACTTCATTCATTTTTTTTAAGTTGTAGCCCTTAGGAACTAGCCTATTCAACTCATCTAACGTCTTATCTTTACGTCTCAATCATTCTCTTTTTTACGTCTAACATACATAATACAGGAGTAGGTAGTACTCTTAGACATCTCAGACACAACTTTTAATCATACAGATGGAGTAGTAACTTCATTTTAAGTAAATTTTCTGCGTATGTGTGAGACGCGGATAGGATCGAACCCGAATCCACGGATTGCTAGTTCGCGGACTGAGTAACGAGTCACTCGGCGCTTTATACTCCTCCATTCTTTACTATTTCTTTACACTTATATAAATAAACATTAAGCCTTTTGCATCTCTATAATAATCATTCTATGTGGATTATGATATTATATATGATTGCGCTATTCACTACATTGACAAATTGATTCAACTGATTGTAACTTTATTAATATTAACAGTAGGAAACTGAAATCATAACACAATACCAGAATTGAGTAAGTTAATGTTTTTTTAAACTAAATTAAGTTAAAGTAAATGGCTTTTAAAATTAATAAACTTAATTTAAAAGTTAAAGGAATAAAGAATTAACTTAATAAAAGTTAAGTTAAGATTAAATTAATTTAAGTTTAAAAAAAAGTTAATTTTGAAAAAAATTATTGTTAAGATCAGAATGTCCTAATTTTTCTTAAAATGAGATTACTTTAAATAACCCTTACAAATATAGATTATTAAGCAAATTTAATTTTATATCCACATGTAAGTTACTTATATATAATAATAAGAGTCACACCATAAGATATTTTTGTCAAAATCTTGCGAGAGAGAAGGGTATATGTTTGCTTTATTTCTCTTTCTTTAATCTTTATCTAACTTTCTTTAACTTCTATTCATGCGTGTTTACGACTACATCGAATAAATATTTGTTACAAAAAAATATATGTAAAAATTTAGAAAATAAGTGGATGTGCAACTCTGTTCTACAACAATTCTTCATCTAAGGCTCATTTTATATTTATGTTGCTGAAATATAAACGTTTGTGATATCTAAAATTAGTGTGATTCAAATATAAGCGGAAATTGACAAAATCTAACGAGTCAGTAAAAACTGACTACTATATGATGTGACTCTTATTGTAGAGCCTCTTGTCATAAAATCATTGAACTTCTTCTAAATTAATTCTCTAATATTTAAGACTTTATAGAAAAAAAAAATATTAGCATTAAGAAAGATAGAAAAATTTTCAATTTAAAAAAGTTAATAAAATTTAAAAGCAACTAAATTAAGTTAAAAATTATTAACTTCTTAACTTTTTTTTTAACTTTTAACATTTGAATTAGTTACTATCCAACCCTGCACAATACTACTACAATATAAAGACATATAACAGAATGATTGCATGCACATTACTCCACTCCTACTTTTTCTGACTTTTGCGGCATAAATCCTCACGCGGCGTAAATATCCGGCGTAGTTACCCTATGCTACTTATATAGTTAAGAAGAGAGAAAGTAGAAAACCGTTAGAATTGCTTGAATCTCGTTCTTTGTCGTGTATACCGTCAATTGCATAGTGTATATTTCAAAATGTTCCGCAATTAGAAAACCATTAAAACTGTTAATACTCGATCTGAATGTAAAGGATAAATAGCAAAGATATACGAGGTCTGTTCAAAAAATATCGCGAATTTTGTGTTTTTTCAAAAATTATTTATTTATTCATGAATATCTATTTTGTCCCCTTCAAAGGGGACATCCCCATCAGATATTATACACTTGTGCCAACGTTTTTTCCAATCCTCGAAGCACTTCAAAATTATTTTTTGTGATCTTGTTCAGCTCCTCCTTCGATGCCGTCTTTATCTCCTCAATCGTAGCGTAGCGTCATCCTTTCATGGGCCTCTTCAGTTTCGGGAACAAGAAAAAGTCACAGGGGACCAGATCTGGGGAATACGGTGGCTGCGGCATCATTAGTGTGTTGTTTTTGGTCAAAAATTCGCGCACAAGCAACGATATGTGAGCAGAGGCGTTATCATGGTGCAAAAGCCAATTTTTGTTCTTCACAAATCCGGGCGTTTCTGGCGGATTGCTTCGCGCAAATTGCGCATAACTTGCAGGTAATATTCCTTATTGACCGTTCTACCCTGTGGCAAGAACTCATGATGCACCACGCCCCTGCAATCGAAGAAAACTGTAAGCAAAACCTTCACATTCGACCGAACTTGGCGCGCTTTTTTCGATCTTGGCTCGTGCGGCAGCTTCCATTGGGATGATTGAGCTTTGGTT